AGTCGGCTCCGCCGCCGCGAACCGCGGCGCAGACTCGTGGGAAGTTGCGATGTTGGCGGCTGGACTCGCGTATTGTTCTTCCCCCGGCGCGCCGATCCTCACCGACCCCATTCTGCAGTGGGGCCGCCCGGGAGTGGTCGCAGTCGTCCCCCGTCTGTCTGAGGCGAGTGGCTTCTGCTCTCCCCGTGCCCGCTGTGTGGAGAGGGGGCACAGGAGGGTGTGTGTGTGCCCAGTGAAAACATTCTCTCGCCCAGGGGAGAGGGCTTGGTGGGGAGAAGGGTGAGCCGTCTCGGAATGCTCTTTGCTTTGTAGGCTGTAGGCTGGCGTGGTTCTCTTAGAGAAGTTCGGTTTCTGGGTGACCCGACTTGAAGAGTTTTCTTAAACTCTCAGGTGGAGTAGACGTACAGTGGATTAGTTAGTGGATTATCAAAGTAGTGCCCTCTCCATACAAATTAACGTTACATTTGCTAAGAGCATGTCATTTCTCGACTCGGATTGTGAAGACAACGGTTTTTATTTCCAGTGTATCCTAGGACCAGCTCCTACACTTCTGTGTAAGAACGCAAGATGCTAGGTAAGCTTTTTGACTTGCCCCAAAGTATACTTAACAACCATCGAAGTGTGCAAATCACTGCATTGAAAATTTTTCAGGAATGCTTTGTAGCCTAATTTCGTAATTTAGAAAACATCTGAATATTTTATGTAGTGTATTGTTTCTGTTCTTTGTCACTGTGACTTACAGACTGCAGGGCCAACCACGTTTCTGCCCTGTATGCTACTTAGTTGGAGGGTGGAGCTGTGAAGGCAGACTTCGGTTGTAGTTTGTAGTGTTCATTTGTTAGATACACATTTTAGATTAGGAGCTGCTCATAGATGTTTAGTTTTAAAAAGGACCATGTGCTGGAGACCCTTTATAAAGGCCTTTTCACCTGGCATTTATATTTCTGTTCTAAGTGTATCTTCCAACAAGTCACTTTTCTGGGTATTTTCACTTTTTATGATCATATTTAGAAGTTAAGACATTGTTCTCTGTAAGGTAATAAAAAGGAAGACAAACACATGTGGTCCTTTAAACTACTGAGTAGTAGTTTATAAAATGTCCTTTTTAAAATAATGAAAACGGTAAGAAACTGATATAGTCTAATGCTTCAGGAAAAGTAATTGAACATAATCTTTGTGGGTCAAGACTCATACAGAAATTTTCTAAATTCAGAACTCTAGAGTCCTTTGAGCTTTGGTTTAAAAGCTTTTTGGTGTTTCTGTTAAGCAGAACTTTTTCAAAAAGCATGAGAAATTTTTCATTTTAGCATCAAATTGTAACTTTTGGGTAAATGGAGATATTTTAATTTTATTGTAATATGTGCTAATTTTATCTACTGATGTGAGCTATTTTTGGTAGAGTTTGCAGTATGTTTATATGATGATTTGTGGAATAAAGCTATTCAAATAGAAAATATATTTTAACGTAGGTGAGAAATGAGTATGTGAGTGTAGATCAGTGGCAGTACAGATTTAACTTTAAAATATAAATCATTTTCAGGTACTTAAACCTTTTTAGTTAGTTCCCTCTTCCAATTTGTCAGTCACTGTTATATGTGATTTCTCTCTCTCTCAAATACAGACATAAAAATGCTTTTCTTTATTATTTGTAACCAGATTAGAAATTATTGGAACTCTTCTGATAAGATGTAACCCAAAGAATTTTTATGTATTTGTGAATGTTTTTAACGCAGATATGCTGAAAGACTTAATGTCTTTTCTTTTTTTTAATTGGTGTGTTTGAGAAGTCAAAAGCTATTTCAGCTGTTGCAGTAAATTAATCCCATAATATTTTGGTTTAATAAAATCATACATGAAATGAACATATTTTCATTATGACATGTTTTTTATATTTAAAAATCTGTTGTAAGTGCTTTGCTTTGAACCATATGTTCTTTAGAAAATTTTTTTTGTGTGTAAGTTTGACCAAAAGCATCACAAGTATTAAAGCTTAAACTTAAACTATTTTTCTGACTTCTACCAACAAACAAGAATCTGTGAAATTAATGAAAGGGACAGACTTTTTGTCTTTATCTTTAAGGAGCTCTGACTCTTCATCTTCTTAACTTGAGTTTGAGAGTCCATTTAGCTCTATCTTCTTAACAAGGTCCATTTTAAGCCATCTCTTGCATTAACAGTATCTTTGTATATGTACAGGACCTTTGTTAGCAGGGGCTGAGGGAAATAAGCATGGTAAGAACTTTGTTTTCTAATGTTTTAGTAACTTATTTAAGACCTTCAAGGGTGTATATTATCTGATCTCTTTAAATTTTCCTAAGGACCTATAGAGTTGAATGGGAGGCATAAGGGACATTTCCATGATGCCTTTTGTGTATGGAGTTAGGAGTTTCATTGTGTTAGGAGTTTCACTTTTCAACATTTATAAGAGAGGGTAATATTTTATAGTTGAAGAAACTGAGTCTTGAAGAGATAATTTTTCTAACATTATATGCTGCTAAGTGGTATATTAGACATTCAAACTCAAACCAGTTTGACCTCAAAGCCTAAGTTTTTTATCCATTCATACCTTTCTGAAAGCAGTTTTTACATTAACTCAAAGGTGACCTTTGGACTAAACTGCCTTAGAGATATGTTTTGTTTTATTGCAGTGTCCTTAACTTTCAACTAGTAATCAGTATTGAAAAACTGGGAAGTTTCTCAATGAAATTCATGGAGTTTTAGATGTTTGGGGGAAGATTTGGGAATTCAGGCTCTAGTGGGCTACATTTCTATTTTCTGGAGCTCAGCAGTTGGGTAGTAGCTGCCCTCTTTAAACTGGACATGTGCTTACCAGTTCCTGCAGCCCCCATCATTCCTGCTGTTAATACACCTGGCTTGATTCATTCATTTTTGTTACCTGCCTGAATCCTGTGGGTATATTGTTTGCATCTCTGGCACAGCTTCATCTTGTAATAGATGGTTTCAGCTTTAAAAAATGTTTATTTTGACTGTGCCCTCTTATCCAACTTGTGATATGTTTTTTGTAATGCTTTCTTTTTTCTGTAGTTTTAAAATTTTGTTAATAAAAACTGTGGCATATGGAATTCTTTTTTTTCAGCATTAAGTTATTAGATATTTTTAAAAATCCCTATTTTCATAACAGTGACAGGTTTGAAAATCTTTTTTTTTTTTGAGTTGGAGTCTCACTCTGTCGCCCAGACTGGAGTGCAGTGGCAGCTCCCGGCCACCGCAGCCTCGACCCACTGGGCTCCGGTGATCCTTCTGCCTCAACCTTCCAAGTAGCTGGAACGACAGGTGCACGCTACCACTCCCAGCTCATTTTTGATTTATTGTAGAGATGAGGTCTCGCCAAGTTGCCCAGGCGGGTCTCGAACCCGCGGACTCAGGCAATCCACTCACCTCAGCCTCCCAAAGGCGCGGGATTACAGGCTGAACCACTGAGCCTGGCTGAAAATCTTTAAGATAGAATGATGGTTATAATTTCTCCACATTTATCTTGATGAGCAAATAAGAATTCATTCTTTTTTTTTAACTGGGGCAGAAAAAAATTAGTTGAGGGTCATATAGATAAAAACCAACTTAGGCTAAACTTTTAAGAATGGGATACAAACTTAAACTCTGCTTTTGAAATTAAAGTGAAATTGAACAATAATTTCAACAATAAGCTACATTTTTCTAACATTGTTGGGAGATTACTGGTTCAGAAATGAGAAGAGTCCTGTATAAAAAAATCTTAACAAGTCTCTGGGAATTGACTTACAATTTTGACTGTTTTTGCTCACCCAGACTGGATTGCAGTGGCATGATCATAGCTCTCTCTAACATTGAACCTCTAGGCTGAAGTTCTCCTCCTGCCTCAGCCTTCTAAGTAGCTGGGACTAAAGGAGCAAGTCACTACACCCTGGTAATGTTTACATTTTTTGTAGAGCTTGGGTTTCTCTTTGTTGCCAAGGCTGGTCTCAAACTCTTGACTCAAACAATCCTCTGACTTTAGCCTTCCAAAGGAATGGGATTACAGGCATGAGGCACACCCCCCTTTGGTTATTTTTGATGGAAATTTTTCTAAAATATACATTTACTGTCTCCTTGAAACGGGCTAAATTTAATCTTTTCTTAAATAATTGAAGTTTAGTATGGAGAACAACTGTTACTGTTTTGAGCTTTATTATAGTTTGTTTTTTATTTTTCCAGAAACAGTTGAAAGGCATGGGAGTTTTTCATTTTTCTAAATTTAGTCTGGCTGATTGTGCTTTTTATTCTTGGATCTAGTTTTAATAGTATTTCCAACTTTTTGATTAGGAGTAAGAATTACTTTCTTATTAACCTTGAAAATGTCATCTTTTAATTAGTTGTTGGTAATGTTTTTTCTGTGAGGAAACAAATTGTTTTTGATACACTTGCATGTCAAGTGGAGTATATAAGTTCTGAGTCTTCTGTGGAACAAAGTACATGAGCTTTAGGTAGTTTTTTCTTTCTATCCCTCTGCCCCCTTCTCTTTTTTCCTTTTAATGTGTATTTTTTGGTTTTGTATAGTTTAGTGTTGAGGTTGCCTGATTCTTAACTTTCTGAACAGTTTGGATGATATTGTGCTAATATGTTTGGCTAGTTAAATTGACAGGATAGAATGGAGAGAGGAAACTGATGAATAACCAGGAAGACACAGCAAACAAAATGCACACCTATTTGGTTGTATGTAGACTGTGACCTAGATTTGAATCATGAGTATTCTAGTTTCTTACTTATTTTTTTGGTTTGTTTGTAGAGAAGGGATCTTCAATGTTGCCCAGGCTGGTCTCGAATTCCTGGCCTCAAATGATCCTCTGTTGGTTTTTCAGAGTGCTGGGATTACAGGCATCATATAAATATACTAGATTGTTAATACTAAACATACTTTAAAGTATGATACTTAATACCCTCTACAGGAATGGAAATTGTAAATTAAACAAGGTATTTTTTTTTTTAAGCAGAATTTATTGAGAGGACAGAAAACTCCCACAGTGGGAGGGGACCCAAGAGGGAGTGCCCAAGGAAAAGTATTTTTGAGAAAGTTGGTGAAAGGCAGATGACGGAGGTTTCTGATACTGTGTTAGTTTTAGTGTTTGTTTGCAGTAAGTAGCTGTGTTACAGATTGGGTGATTTTTCTTTTA